CCATGTCCTATGTAGGACATGCCATATCAATAGATTTGCTACCTAGAAAGTAGTTGGGTGCTAAATAACAAGTGGTAAAAGAAACGCTAAAGAATATGAAAAGATTCTGCTTGATCCATGGTGTCATTTTTCTGTAACCCATGACCTCTTGTTCTGTTCTACCATAAACATTTTTTAATCAAGAAACAAATCAATCTTAGCCAAAAAAAGCAAGTCTGACTTGATGATCCCTGTTAGATCCTTGTTAACAAAAAGATCTGATCTTGTCCAAAAATAATCCCATCACTTTCTAGGCTGGGCTGCAAAATATTACTTCATTTCCATAGTAGTGAATTAAGTGAATAGATACAGAACTCGCCTCCTTTCTGGAAATGTGTTTTTGTTTCTAATCATTCATGTTAAAATGTTTCTTAATTTGTAGATGTGTGGAAAATTATGAACTTAAGATCAGAACTTCTATATGACTAATTGATAGTGAACCATACTAGTTTGTAGGTGCTGGAAAAACACTTCCTTCACATTGAAAACATTAACAACTACTGCCTTGAAATTCTGCAGCACCTTGAGCCAATCTTATGTTAGGACTGCAGTAGTTAGTCTTGCCTTTTTGATAGCAGCACTAGAAGTCATACAGCTAGGTAAGACATGCAAAGCATCTGATTGACATCATAGCTACAAATTAACCCACTGGGGGAAAAGTATATATATAAAATATACTATATAGCAGAATTTGTTCATTTTATGTTGCAGAGTATCCAGGATTCTGACAGTTAAATAAGATGTAACACTACTGATGTGATTTTTATTCTTCCTAAGAGTAATGTACTCTTTTCTTTAAAAAGTACGTATTTAGAATTCAGAAAATCAGTGAGTAATAATTTGACATAGTTATCACAGATCTTCACTTGGAGACATTTGCAGTAGTCACCCTTGCTCAGAAGCAGTAAGTTACCATTGTTACAGGGAGGTGTGTTTCTCAACTCACTGCACTGTATGTATTGAAGATCAGTGTTGAATGATGGAGTTAAATTTGTTATGTTTATTCAGGAAAACTACTTCTTAGTTATGTTTTTCTTGCTTGTTTGAGAGACCTGGGAAAACCTGTCACTTTGCTAATCAAGAAAGGACAAAATATGAAAAACAGACATTCACTCAAGTTGAAGCTGTGCCTATTGCGGATGCATTACAGAATCAAATCAGGTGTAAAACACAATTGTTTTCAGTGAACTTATTTCAACTGGCTAGCTGTAAGGACCAAATTGCCAATCCATGTCTTTAGTATAAATGCTCTTTTAGCAAAGATAACTGACTTTTCTATGCTGGCAGAAGCAGCTAAGATGGAAAACGCCTCCCCAAGGGCTGAGCTGGTTTAGCTCTGCAAGGCGCATTGGTGAGTATTAAGTTCAGTCTTAACGTGAACAGCTAGTGTGCAGTAGTCATGTTTGAGGCTTTGTAAGGACATTTCTGGGAATGACCATCAGGAAACTAAAGCAAATTTGGTATGTTTATGTATAAATTCTTATAGACCAACCGTTTTTACTCCTGTAATACTTGTTCTGACTGATTTTGGAAATAGGAGGGGAAAGGTTTAATAGACATCTGAATAATTTAAGGTACTGTATCTTTGACCTTACAATCTTTATTGTATTTAAAAATTGAAGGTGGCAAGAACAGAGGAATGAACTATAAAAGCCATTTCTAGTATGGCTAGTAAAATTATCAGCCTTACAATAAAGCTGTATTACTGCAAGTTCTGTTAGGAGCCCCATAATTCTGAATTTTAAAAGGGGACTTTGGTTAAATTCTTATGCAACATTTTCAATAGTACTATTTGTCTGTGTTTTTTTAATAGAAAAATCTGTCTGTTAACTTTATTAAGAGTGTAGAATAATAATATTTTTAAAATACAGAATTGTCAAGATATATCTAAACAGTGCTTTCTTTACACAGCTCACGTATCCTTGCATTAAGTACTTTGTGGAGATGGGGTAATAGCCAGAATTTTTTTGTGTATCATTAATGTGAGTGAGTTCATGTCCTTTTTAGAAGTACTGAAAGCAGAGTGGCCGTATGGAAGCTAGAAGGGAAGATGATAACTTTCAAAATATCAACATTCTAATTTAAAAAAAAAAGACGTATTCTGTTTTGTTATTAAAATTTGCTGCAAGAGTTTAAACTAAACTCTTAGATTAAGGACAAGCTTCTGCAAGGAGTCTTTGCTTTTATTTGAAGGGTTTAATAAGGATACTACCAAACTACTTTCTCTAGTAGCACACAGTGTGGTTGTTTTGACAAGAATTGATTCTGTATTGCTCATTTGTTCTCCATATTTGTATTAAAGTGGGAACTAACTCATGTTCCTCACAGAGATAAACTGGAGTTAGGAAGCAAGTCTTTCAAAAGACTGCAGTAAGTGTTAAACTACAGTGAAACAACTTAGTGCAGGTACCTTGCAACTTACTACTCTACTGAAGCCAAAGTGCCTTTCTTCCCCCCCCACCAAAAGCCTGCTGAACTGCTTTTGCAAAAGAGGAAAAACTTAAAAACTACATTAACTTCTACTCTGATTTATATAGCTGGGTGCATTTTTAAAAAAGAATCAAATGGAGGTATATTCAATGTGTTAGTAACTTCAGCAGTGTCGTGTTCTGAATAATATTGAGCTCTTGCTGAAAAATGAATTTCCATGGACAGATAAATAGGGAAGAAAAATACCATCTGTCTAGAAAAAAAACCATAGACTAGTTTATGCCTGTAGCTGGTCTGTAAGCTTTCTGCCATGCTTATAGAAATCACTATATTTGTACGCATGTTTGGTAGGATGAGGGTGACAATGTAACTTACACTTTCAGATTAGCCCTGAAGTTCAGCATTGCTGGGAAGAATAACAGCTAATAATAAAGCAAATACCTGAATATTATCAAACCAAAGCCTTGGCAGGAGGGATGCAGAGAAGATAATAGAAAACTTGTTCACAAACTCATTTTTTAGGAGTTAATTACATCTTGGGCACCAGGGGAGGGTAGGTTTGGGGCACACAATAAGAATGCCACAGGGCTAGAACTATGACTTAAATAGCTGTTTTTCCAGAGAATCTGAGTGAAGATTATTAATACTGATTTCTGTTTAAAATTCCTTAAGTATTTTTTATTCTATTGTAATTAGATCTGCCTTCTCACTACATCAATTTTCACATTAGGCAAAATGGTCGTGATTATTTCTTTTAAGGTTGTATATGATTATTAGAATTCCTACTGCCATCAGGATAAGTATGTAATGCTAAAATTAGCTTGACTTCCTAAAAGCTATTCTGATTCTAATGGAATAAACCCACCCAAGCTAAGCAGGTATATGAACCTCACTCAAACTTGGATAGCTGGTACATTATAGTCTTTCTCTTACACTTTTGAGAGGGACAAAAGTTAGAAGGTTATCTAGCACCATAATATGAGGCAGAAGTAGAACCATAGTTGTTTTACTGAAGCCAGGTTTAAACTTTAAAATCCAAAAGACACTTGAAAATAATCAGGAAGAATAGCAGTATAGGCTTTTTGGTATCATAATTCTTCTCAAGACAGAAGTGGTATGAAGTCTCAAAGTGAAAGATATTTTATTGTTGAAGTACTTGGAATGATTTTAACTTTTTTTTGTTTTTAAGAGGATTTTAGCTTATGGTTTTCTAAGGACAGCTTTCATGGAATAATGTCAGTTACAGAGGCAGTCATTAACGAAGAAGTGGCTTTACTTAGTCTTGGTTCTCAATGTTCAGCAGGAGCAGTAAGTGAACCAAGTGTTATATCATAGTAAACAAATAGCACTCATTGTCATTGGAGGAATAGTCTTCCTCAGCAGCATCGTTCTTGGCATACTGTACACCCACAAATACGCGGAAGCTGCATATGCTTTTAGGCCTGTCAGTCTTTCCATTGGCTTGATATTTCTAGTTACTGAAACAGCATGGCTTATCCATCATTAAACAAACTGTTAGATATAAGGGCCTCATGAGACTATGCGCAAGAGAGCCTACAGCCAAATATAGTTCTTGCGCTTGAGGGCTTGGGAGCGTTAGAAGATATGTACTAGGTCATTAACTGACAAAAGAGCAAACTGAAATATGCATTTTGCCTTTTACATAACTGTTTTACTTGCTGGATTTTTCATCTTGCATTCACAGCTCATTTCCTGCTTGTTAGTGTGAAGTTGTATTCTAACTACCCTTTTTAGGCCACCCTCCTCAAGTACGTAGTTATTGTCTATAGGACTTTGCAGACGCCCATTATAACCGTCTTGCAAATCTCTGCTGCCTACTAATAGCCACCTCCTCTTGCAAGTGTGGAGGTCTACAACATGGACGCCCATCTCAAGACCACCTTTTTTGGAGCGCCTCCCTTCTAGGGTACCCGAGCAAACTAAGGCAAAGACCTCACCCCCCTTTGGAAGGTGACACTGCCTCAGCTGAAAACAGTTGAATGGGCCCAGCTGCGTCTCTCACGCTCACCCGCACAAGGAAATGGCAGAGACCACCGCTTGCAAGGGATGCCTCAACTCCAAAGTGCTGGCGGTCACTACAGCCCAATCTTCGGCGCCCGTCCCTGCTACTCTCTCACGAAGTGGAGCAACGCCTGGACGAGCCAGCCGCCTCCCCGGAGGCAGGAGGAAGGGGCCTGTCAGGGGGCACCCAACATGGCCGGCGGGGAGAGCCCAGCTGTAGGCACGGGGCCTCGGCGAACGA